GCTCATGGTATAGCAAGGCTGGCTATCCTACAGATGAGGTGTTTACCTCTAAATTCCAGGTCACTTTCAATTGAAATAAAGTATTCCCTGTGGTGGTAGGAACACTAAATGAGACTTCTCAGAGCACAGAGAAAGTGCTCATTTTACAGGGACTTTCAAGAATAGAAGTTTCCCAAAATGCAATCATCTAAGCATTGTGAGGATTTGTTATTATCTACTTTGATTTACATTTTTTATCCGTGCTATCAGGCTAAAATAAAATGATTCAGGCAAATTAGCTCATTCAAGGAATCAGTTGTCACTTTTTTTTAGATCACTCAAATGACCAGTTTAAAGTAATTATGTTCTGTCTTATACTAAGGCATTGTATGCACAGTATATTTTAGCCTTCTGTTATCACAATGTTACTCTAACTTATTGGATGATCGGCTGACCAAATATGCACAGACTTGTATTTTGTATTAGTTAATGTAAATTATCTTTATCCAAAATATAAATTGGTAGTATAATAATATGTTTTTAAGTAAAATCTGCATAATATATCAATGATCAATGATTTCTTTCTATCTTCCTTAATTTATAAGAATTCAAGGAATAAGATTTTATATTATCATTCAAATACACATTTGAAACATTTCTTTTCTTTGACACTGTGCTGGTTCAAATAAGAATGATGCCCCCCCCCAAAGGCTTATAGATTAAAATGCTTAGTCACCAAGGAGTGGCACTATTAGGAGATGCATCCTTGTTGGAGTAGGTGTGGGCTTGTTGGAGGAAATGTGTCACTGAAGGTGGGCTTTGGGGTTTCAAGTGTTCAAGCTATGCCCATTGTCTCTCTTCCTGTTGCTTGCAGATCCCAATGGAGAACTCTCAGCTACATTTCCAGCACCATGTCTGCCTGTCTGTTATCTACCATGCTGATAATGGACTAAACCTCTCAACCTATAAGTCAACCCCAGTTAATTGCTTTCCTTTATAAGAGTTGTCTCTTATAAATGGTGTCTCTTCACAACAGTAGAACACTAGTCTAAGACAGACATACTGGTCCTTTTCCCATAATTTTATGTGTATAACCTAGTGGTTACAGCCAATGTAGGTACAGATATGTATTGAATATGCCTCATTCACTGGGTCCAAAGCAGAAAGATGAATCAGATGGCATATGGTTGATATGATTTGGGCTTTGGATTGATCCAAAGTTACTATCTTCTGGCATGCATATGTAAAGCCTTATAAATGTGACTATGAAAAAAGGCAAAACTAAAAGTTACATATTGGAATGAAGCAGAAACATTTGACAACTGTTGGGCAGTTAGAAGAAGGTAGATGAGTGGAACACTTGGAAAATCAACCCTGTCTATGGCTCTGAGAAGTAAGCCGTGCAAACTTAGGAATCAGGAAACAGAGCCCAAAGAAAGGGATAGCGTGGTACCTGGACTCCCAGGAAATCTCAGTTTTCTAAAGCAGATGGTTTTCTGGAGGTCACAGAATGAAATCATTGGGTGTGAACAACGGCTATGTGGCCTCTCAATGCACAAGTGTTAGCAGCAGTGCTTGGGTGGGGGTAGTGGGTAATGAGAGCAGAGCTGTCCATGTAGAGTGAACTTGAAAGGTGACTGCACGATCATGAGAATATGGATGCTGCTCTCAATTTCCTGGGTTGTTTCAACTTCTAGCCTTTCTTGCCTCACATACCAAGTGGGGGTATCAGGCCTACTTTCCGTGTAGTGTTCACAAAGCCCTTCTAGAAGTGGCTAATCCATAAGGTGGTGAAAACTATTCCATGATTTCACAGAACAGCTTCACTCAGTCTCCCTATGCTTAGGAATTAGTTAAGAGTAGGAACACAATTCCACCACACGTGGCAGGGAAAAGGTAGCTGGGCTTCCAAACACAGAGCTTCCCTTGACAGAATGTAGATATGGAGGGAATGGCAATGAGTCAAACTGAAAGCCTGACAGAGGAATATATTTATCACAGAAAGACGGTCACCCAAAATTTGCCTCCACAGAAGGCTGAGAGGGATGCACATAGAGTCAGTAATTGTCATTCCTGTCTCCATCATCTTGAGAACTGAAGGGCAGCTAAGTTTCCAAGTAGGAGTTTATTGTCAACATTTTAGTGTAATCTGCATGGAACAGCAACAAGGTGATGAGCATAGATATAGGAAAACAAGCCACAGTTGAAGGGACAAGTGTCTTTACAATGGGAAAGAAAGTACTCAAGTCACAACTAAGGTGTTCCATTCTTTTTCTCCATTGAGTGTGTTTTTTAATGGTTGAATCTACTTTGGAATCGAGTCTCATTTTCGCCTATATATCTTTGGACTGTGAGCTACAGTGTTATACATAAAAATGTATTAAATTAACTTTTTGTAAATAGAGTGAATGAGTGATGAAAGCAATGTGCATGAAAGTGTCCTGTGAGATACAATTTTAGGTATTACTTTATTCTGACCCATGACATTAAATTTGTAATTCTTATAAAGAAATTTCTGTATTTATGAAGCACTGACTGAGGCAAGTTTTGCTACAACCTTTTTCTAGAGCACAGGTTAGATGTGAGCTAGTGAAAATCTAACTCTGAAGCCAGAACTGGGCTATTCAACTGAAGCAGATACAATAAATGACTGAGATGGGCAGAACACAAATGGTCTGTATCATGTGACAAAGTTAATGACAAGAGCTGTGACCAGAGGTAAGAAGGGATGCTCTAAGATTATGGGTCAAGTCTGATGGAGGGAGGCAATCAAGGCAAATGCCTTTCAGAGAGGCAAGCAGTGATGCATGTGGATACCTAATAGTCCAACATCAAGGAGCTGTCTTTCTCTTCCATCCTATAGTCTCAGGTAATGGTATCTAATTTATGTTCATCATGATATTTAATCTTATTTCACTTAACATCTTCATAAGGTAGGGATACTAATTGCTATTTTTAAATTAAATGGTATAAGACCAAATACTATTTAGTGAGGTGCCTACAAATACCAAGTTTAAAATAAGACAATGTGAAACTCAGACTAACTGTTTACTTGTGGTGTTAACTGTGGAAAACTTATGCTCCCTGAGCCGCAGTTTGTTTATCTCTGAGAATTTTGTTTACTATTTACGCTGTGAACTAGAGAGAATGGTGCAAACGTCTAGCCAAGTTCTTGGTATGAACAATGACTTAGGACAGAATCCCTAGCAGGATGTCTTGTGTGTTCCCATTTAGAATATCAAAATACCCCCCTTTAAACAATGTTCATCCAAGACTACTTGTAGCCAATGATCACGGCATAAGAACTGCTAAAGCATGTAAGACCAAGAGTATGTAACTGGGATGGTGAGTTGAATTCCAAGCACCAAGCATTGACTATCCCCCTCCTCCTGTGGGTAGAGTATAGTTTCCTGCTCCGGATATATTGAGCTTTACACTGAAGCTGGTTTGGGATGAGGGCTCTTACAACAGCTGCCGTCTTTCACAAATTTTAATCTTTGGTGTTGTAGACACTAAAATTACATCCTGAGGAGCCCAAGGAAAACTAGGAGACATACAGAGTGAGCTAGAACTCAACCCATAAACAGGAACCAAACCCCCAAAACTCCAGTGTAACCCAGTGTAGTTATTGCAAATCCACAGTGCTTTGAGCAAATAAATAAATTTTACCACTGCTGGGCTTAGAAGAAGTTTGTTGTATCCAACTCTTGTAGCAAATAAATGAACAAAATCAAATGCAAAGACTAATACAGTGTTCAGGGAGAGGCTGATATGTTAAGATTTCCTTCTGGTTTCTTACTGAGAGCACACAGTAGGCTCACTGGGAATGCCTTTTGGTCTGGGTTGAGTGTACTTAATGTTTTACATTGCTCGTAGGGATGTAGCTTCTCAAATGAATCTAAAACCACCTTAATGCTTTGCTGATATTTCAGCTAAGTACTGTGTTTGATATATTGTGCACCCTAATAAATATATCTGGGGTCAGAGAACAGAACAGCCACTAGATAGACATAGAAGCAATCCCAGGACTTGAGATCTCATATCTTGCTTGGGAAAGACACATGCATTTAATCCCAGAAGTAATGGTAGGAAGCAGGAAGGTATTTAAGGTGTGAAGACCAGAAACTAGAGTCTTTTTAAGCTTTTAGGCTTTTTAGCGGCAGTTCAGCTGAGATCCATTTGGGTGAGGACTCAGAAGCTTCCAGTTTGAGGAAACAAGATCAGCTGAGGAATTAGCAAGGTGAGGTTAGCTGTGGCTTATACTGTCTCTCTGATCTTTCAGTGTTCACCCCAATATCTGCCTCCTGGGTTTGTTTTTATTAATAAGACATTATAAGATTAGTGTTACAGTGCTGCATTGCACAAAATCTTTGATTAAAATGATTTTATAACTTTATGGTTTCATACAGACTCAGAAGGATCTTTTCAACATGTAAATATCTTGTAGGAGCAGATCTACTGTCCCAGGATACTTATGGGTCATGAATCCCATTCATGTCTACTGTAGCCCCATGACTTTATCCAATCTTAATTTCTTCCCCAGAATACTCCCTACTAACACTAGCACATTAGGTACAAGGTGCCAGTATTGGGATTTAAAGGGTGGGAATAACAAGCATTCCTTCTACAACAAGCTCTGTGAAATTGGCAAGTAGGTCATAGACACTTGACTGATCAGTAGTACACCTTCCCCTCTCTCATCATATACATTGTTTATAAAAGGATTAAAGAAACTAAGAGATCCGGTGCTTTTTTAAAAATCTGCTCTATATTAGATGACTGTCCCCCAAAAAACTATGCATTAAATGCCTAAGTTCCAAATTGCATTGCTGGACAGATAGATATTTTAGGAGGTGGAGTGGGAGGTACTTAGATCGCTGAGACATGACCTTGAAGGGATTACACTGGTGTTTTCCTCACTTTTTCTCCTCCCTCATTCGGTCACCCTCCCACCCACCCCCACACTCTTTCCTTTCCTTCTCTGTCCCTCCCTGGATTGTGATGTAAGCAGTCTGCTCTGTCACAGATTCTCCCACAGCCATCCAGGTTCTCACACCGGAAACTCAAAGTCAAAGGACTCCTGTTCTCGGACTAGAACTTACAACCTTTAAATCCTAATGAACCTCTTCTCTCTGTAAATGTCTTATCTCAGGGTTGCAAATAAATTGAATTTAAACTTAAATTAAGGTTCAAATTAACATGTGATTTTTTTAAGGAGCCAACACAAGAGGTATAATTCTCACTCATTTTGAAAATCAAGCTGGATGTTATCTCAGCATCTGTGTGAATATAAACAAGGGTTCTCTCTATCAGGCAATATCTTTGATCTAAAACTATATGCCCCCGTCTTTTCTTCACAGTTACCAATAAGTCCTGTAGTCACTGTCATTGTACTCTATTGTTTTGTCATTCTCTCCCCAACCTCTGTCCATCTTCATGTGCTTTCAGTCAGGAACTATTCCCCACGTTCTTCATCTAGCAAACTACTACTCTCCATTTAGACTCACCCTAATTCAAAACATTAGGTGGATTTCTGAGCCCATACTTCCCAGGAAATGCTGTGCAAAAAACAGCACAGCATTCTCACCATGCTTGTTGAAGATACTGATATGATTTTTCATATACATTTTTCAGCTCTAAGCAAATTCCAGTGTTAAATATGCAGCCTATATGTTCATCATGAGCAAATGGTGACACTGGCAAGTTCTACATGTTGTTCTAGATCACAGTTAAGATGTCTTTCTTGGGTCAAAATAAGATCAGAAACCACTATATAATGCTTCTACATTTGTATCTCACTCACATTATATGTGGAAATCATTTTTCCATAATAAACTTATAAAGCTCATAGAAGTATCATTATACCATTTTATATTATTATATATTATATATTATTCTAAATTTAAAACAAATACTTCAAACATTTATCATAAGGATAGGGAGAGTTGTGGGTGACGTATACCATATAATGAGAAAGAGAGCTACTCCCTTCACCAAGACCAGGAGATACATATGTAAAAGTGACAAGATATTTGTCATAATGGTGTGCATTGATGCAGTGTCCTCTGAGTATTCAGACATCACTGTCTACGTGCCATGTGAAGGGTGAGAAGTTCTGTGAGGAGCATTTACTAATGGGAGTTAGGTTTTATGTAACAGACATGTTGTTGTTGTTGTTTGTTTGTTGTTAATTTAAATATCCTGAAGTCAATTTGCTTTTGCAGAAAAGCTAATTTTTTGCATTTATGATTCCATGGAATTTTTTCTTTAATCTTGCTTAGGGATTAACACTAATATAATTCTTGCTCTCTTGTAAAGTGACATTGCTCTTCTGTACAGTAGACATTGGTGTTCCTTTGTTCATAGGACATTTACCAAGTACCTTTCTGTAGCCACCTACTCTTCCAAACACAGGAATAAATCAGGAAAAGTACACTACAATTTCTGTTTGAGTTTATATTCAATTAGAAAGTATTAATAAATACGTGTGGTTCATAATAGATGGTGATGTCAAAATGGAAAGGAGAGATATGAAACAAGGACAGAGTATTAGAGGTGCATTTATAATCATATTTAGGCCATACAACTCTAAGAGGTGAAGTAGTAAAGGTGACTAGGAGAATAGGATCACAGGCAGTAGAAACCACAAAGTGGGCCTCTGTGAACACAGGGGGGAAAGTGAAGAGTCAGACCCCAAAGAACTCAACGTGTTGGGAGGGCAGGTGGGCCAAACCGGGTGATGTGTGTAAATTTACCCAACAGTTAGACTAGAATTCACTGGAAGGTTTGAAACAGCAGCTCTTTGGCTTACCTGTGGCAAATGAATTAAAAAGAGCTTGATGCTGGGAAGAGAGAGGACCTTTTTGATCACCCCTTGTCAAAGACACAGCAGTTAACTTTAGGCACAATTGCATTTGTTCTTCATATACTATTTTAAATGCAAATTGTATTACATTAGTGTAAGGTCAAGGTGTTGAGTACAGAAGAAAATCTGGTAGCCATAATTTAGAAAGAAGGAATTTACTTAATTCTGACACAAACAAATAAATACAATTAAAATACCATTGTCCTTCTATTCTTTTAGTTCCTCTATTCTCCAGCCCTTACCACCCAATCTTTAGTGTTCAAATGTAGCACCCAGATTCAGTGTGCCTTCAGAGGTATCTGTTCTGAGGGCTATTGTTACTTCAAAACTGAACAACTTAGGGATGAAACAGTGGCTTTAAGCCTATCAACCATTTCAGCACTGCCAAAGCTAATTGTCTTAAGCACTGAGCTGCTTATCCTACTCATGTAGTGACCAAACAACATTACCGTCTTAGAGCAATGTTTTTACATTTCCCTGGAAAAGTTGCTTTTCTACGATTTATAGTGTTCTCTTAGAGAACATTATAAATGAAAGCATGTACAGTGTGAGGCATTTTCTCAACTGAGGCTCCCTCCTCTTAGATTGCTCTAGTTTGTGTCAAACTGGCACACACGTGCGTTCCATCACAGGACACTGAAGATTCTCTTACCATAGGTCACCTACCAAGTACTTAATATGATGGATAATGATAGTTTTATCATGTTTCCATGGTTACTTTATACCAAGTGGCAGAGAAAATGCCTCCATCGGATTGGCCTGTAGGCAAGTCTTTCTGTGGGGGCGTTTTCTTGATTAATGTTTGGCATTAGAGGCCCAACCCATGGTGGCAGCCCCTCCCTGGGCAGGTGGTCCTGGGTTGTATAAGACAGCAACCTGAGCTGAGTGAACTGAAGCAAGGAAGCCAGTATATAGAGTTCCTCCATGCTCTCAGCTTTAGACTGCTGTTCAACTTGAGTTCCTGCCTTGGCTTCCCTCCATGATGGATTGTGACACACAAACGCACACACGCACACATACACACACACACACACACACACACACACACACACACACACGCCAAATAAACTCTTTCCTTTCCAAATTGTTTTGGTTGTGGTCTTCACGGTAGCAACAGAATACAAACTGATACAACATTCATTATTTTCATAAAATAAATGCCCAAGGAATATTAAGTAAACTGTAATTTAAATGCAAAGAAACATGTAATAAATTAAATTATACAATTGGATCATTTATTATTAAAAGTTAATAAAGTTAATATTTATTACCAAACCTTAGGTTCTAAGAAAATATAAATAAGTCTTGATATTCATTCCTGAGACCTTTCACTAAAGCTGAACAAGTTTCATGCAGCAGGATAGCATTGAATTTTATTTCACGTGGCCATACACTGAACAAGGGAGTAATGCATAAATTATCATAGAAAGTATGATTTGAAATGGGCCTATGCAATGTATCTCTATAGGAAAATGTTGCAGAAGTTGTCACTTGTTGAGTGGAATGAATTTTCATGAAAATCAACAAATATTTGTTTGTTAGCCTTATAGAAGATACCAGGTGCTTTTCTGAGAAGTATTTTAGAGTTAAGTTAATGACAGATTACAGAATGTCAGAGACAATTGTAATGAGCTTTATATTTTATCCTACTACTAAGTATATGCCTCTAAAAATTGGTTGTTCTTATAAACAATAAGAAATTTTATTGAGAGAAAAATGCTTTTGTTTCATTGGATGGTTTTCAGGCATAAAGAACTCAAGAGAATATGTAATACAGTTCCAAATTATTTGTTGGTGTGTCAGCAAGCACGAGTCAATACAAAATCATTGTCATAAGTATATATATATATATATAGTCTCCTCATGCAAATATATATAAATACTAAAAACACAGCCTTTGACCTTTGACTTACACTGATCTGTCCTGTGGTCTTTTTGCTTTGCCACTGTGGAAAAGCATTGTTCAGTAAGTGAAAACCAGGCTTAACCCTTGGAAGGTTGATCCTTTTATGGGCTAGTGACCTCCAGTAGAAGGGGTAGGTGCATTCAATGTACCTTTTTCAGTTATAAAATTTCAGTCTATTGAATATAGATTATAAAATAATAATCTATAAAATAATTTATAAAAATATACAATATATGAATGTAACTTCATTATGAAGTGGGAAGTATCTATATTTAATTGTGACTATAAACAAATTCTCAAAATGAAAAAGAAAACCCTATTGACATATGACTACATCAAATATAGTTATAAATGTATGTATGTATTAATATGAAAACAGATGAAATAAAGTGTAATTCCTTCCTTGTCTTCATATTTATCTGTGTTTCTACTTTAAAAATGGAATATTCTTTTACTGGGAAATAGCTCAGTGGGTAAGATTCTTGTTCTATAAGCATGAGGACCTGCATTCAAATCCCCAGCACCCACCTAAGAATCTGAGTGTTGCCCCATGCACTTGTAATCCAAGTACTCTGGTGGACAAAGTTGGGAAGGTTGCTTGACCTTGCCATCCTCTCTATAGATATTAGGGAAAACCCTGTTTCAAGGGAGTAAAGCAACTTGAGTTAATGAGCAGGCATCTAACATTCTCCTCTGGTCTCCATGTGCCTGTATGGGTGCTCACATTCATACGTACATTCTAATACAGCATACTCTGACACACACACACAGACACACTAAAGATGAAAATAAACAAATGAAGAATTACAAATAAAATCATATCATATGAAGTATTTCTCTGTTGCTAGTTTACATAGTACCTCGCCATGATAAATGATCTCTGAATAGTTACTGAATTAATAATGCTAGGTAAGACAGATTTAATCATGTAATATAATAACAAATTCATTTATTAAAGTGAAGAAAGATAAATATAAGAGCATTGATTTTCTTTTATTTTTTTATTGCTGTTGTTTAGATACAAAGTCTCATTATATAGTCCTGGGTCACCAGAAGCTCATGCTGTAGACCAGTCTCCCCTCGATCTCACAAAGACCTATCTGCCTCTGCCTCCTAAATGCTGGGATCAAAGGATGTGACACCATGCACAGACTCCTTTATTTTTAGGTTTATTTATTATGTATATGAGTGTTTTTTTCTGCATTTATCTCATGCAGTGCTTGAGGTCAGAATAGCGCATCAGATCCCCTAAAGCTGGAGTTACAGGTGGTTGTGATACAAAAATGTGGTTTCTGCGAACTGAATCTGGGTCCTCAGCTAGAGTAACAAATATTCTTAACCACTGGTCTATCTCTCCAGCCCT